TCATTCTTTGCTCTGAACGAGAAGAGAGACCCATCGTTGCATCTAGATGGCAGCTTGCTAGCTTTTAAGATCCCAGTCGCTACTTGCCAAAGTAGGAGGTGGAACAATGTTTTGTATAGTATGTTATGCCAGTTGAGCTTGATGTCAGATATACTGTCTTTTTATTTTTATGAGCAACTGTCACACTTTCCAAAGCCATTGTATCCATTTACATTTTCACCAACAACGTAAAACGATTCCAATGTCTCCACATTCTTTTCATCAGTTTTAATTTTGCTCTTATGGCATGGTTTTTATTTGCATTTCACAAATGACTAAATGAGGAACTCTGGTAGCATAGTGGCTAAGGCACTTGACTGCTAACCAGAAGGCAGGAGGTTCAAACCCACCAGCCACTCCTCAGAAGGAAGGTTGGGCAATCCTACTTCCGTAGTGATATTGCCTCGGAAACCCAAGGGGCAGACTCGACGGCAAACAACAACAACAATGACTAAATGATATTGATCATCTTTTCATGTGCTTGGTCATTTGTGTATCTTCTTTGGATTAATGTCAGTTCAAGTCTTTTTGAGGCACTTTGTTTTTCTTTCTTCGCTGTGGAGACTTGGAAATAGATTAATTAGTGGATAAAGCTTGAATGTGTTTATGAGTGGGGAGGAAAGTGTACCAAACAGAATTAGTATATAAATTCAAAAGGAAGGCATGGATGAGATGATTTTTTGCAAAAAGAAAGAAATGCATGCCAGGAAGGTAAGAAATCAAAAGATGTCCTAGATAGAGTGGTTTCTGTAGCCTAAATGTATGTGTGCAGGAGAAGCACCAAAGGGATCATCACCTCTAGTGGTTTCAGATCTGCAAGTAAATGGGAATAAAGGAACTACCTAAAATAGGCCTTACAAAACAGTACTTAAGAGCTAAGTAAGTAAGTAAGGCCTTACAAAACAGTACTTAAGAGCCAAGACTACAAAGCCAAGTACAAAACAGTACTTAAGAGCCAAGACTACAAAGAAGACCTGAGAATTTAGTCATTTCAGGGGAGTCCCTTTTTATACTTAGTACTCATTTTCTGAGTCTGCTTGGGGGGAAAAAAAGAGTTCCTATCCTAATCAAAAAGTCTTGATGATGCATCTCTACTCTGGAAACATTTTATTCTTTTTTTACATTTGGGTATTATCATGTTAATATTAGAATCAATGTGTATTTTGAAACCTTTATAGTCAGATTATTTTAAAATAAAACATCTTAGTTCTATGCTTAAAAGATGAGTTTGTAAGTATTTTGTCTTAGTAACATGAGTTGATTTTCTGTGTGGGTGTGGGGAGTGTAGACAGGGGTTAGACAGAGTAAGACTTTGTTGCCTGTTTTTATGCCCCATTACCAGTTACAAATAGGTAAAACAAAGCCATCTGAGTTAAATGAGATACAGGGCAGTCCCCTTGTTAGGTTAAGAATGTCCAGATTGTTATGTAAATTTGCCCTTAAGTTGAACCAAACCTTACTCAAAACAAATTCTTCATCACAGATCACCTTCATTTACTCCACAAGCAGCTTTTAAATCATTAAAAAGGCTGAATCTTTCTTGCATTAGCAAGGCAACCATTGCCATGGAGTCGGATCCGACCCATAGGGACCCCTCCTTTGGTTTCCGAGGCAGTATCACTACGAAAGTAGATTGCCCAACCTTCCTCCGGGGGAGTGGCTGGTGGGCTTGAACCACCAGCCTTCTGGTTAGTAGTCAAGTGCCTTAGGCACTATGCCACCAGAGCTTGCACTAAGTGAGGCAAAATAAAAACCATATGCATTGGTTCCGATTTACCTACAAATTCTTAAAGACACCAGTGAGAACAGATCTCCTTTTTACCCCGGGGGCTCCCTGTGATGGCAAAAGACTTGAGGTAAAACGAAAGCATATATTTTCTTTTATTGTGTGTTATAAAAGGAGCCTGGTAGCACAATAGTGAAAGAGCTCAGCTGCTAACCAACAGGTCTGGAGTTCAGACCCATCGGCCACTTTGTGGGAGAGAGATGTGTTGATCTGCTTCTGTAAAGATTAGCAGCCTCTGTTCTATGTAGGGTTGTTGTGAGTCGGAATCGACTCGACATCACTAGGTTTTTTGGTTGGCGTTTTATAAGACTACTAATAAAAATGAAGGCTCTCAAACTGTAGTATGTCAGCTTCTAAGCTGAATTACCAAGCATTTAAAGATTTTTATGTTAAGCCTTTTATAGGATCTCAAACTGTAATGTAAGATTCATCACTCCATGTATTGAGGCAGAATATACTCATTTTGGGAGCTCTGGTAGCATAGTGCCTAAGGTACTTGACTGCTAACCAGAAGGCTGGTGGTTCAAACCCACCAGCCACTCCTCACAAGGAAGATGGGGCAATCTACTTCCGTAGTGATACTGCCTCCAAAACCCAAGGAGGGGTCTCTATGAGTCTTTGGACGGCACATAACAATGACGACAACATACTCATTTTAAGACAAAATAATCAGTACTTTGTAAAGATCTGGAAAAAATTTTAAGCTCATTTATTTTCTAATAGCTTTAGCTTTCGAGTGTCATAAAACACTGGCTCTCTAAAAAATGAAAATATAAAGTGGACTTTGGTAGTGTATTGACATGAGAAGAAAACAAGAACCAGGGTGGCTTTTTGAAAGGAATAGTTTTCAGTGATCAAAAGTATGTTGTATTTTGTATTATTTGCTGAGTATTTCTCTACTGTGTAACTAATTCCAGACTTCTGATTAAGATTGACCCTGAGCTTCAGAGGACAATTTTTTTTAAAGTGTTCATTTGTTTTAAAAATTGACACTTATGCAGTGTTTGGGTATTTGGGGTGGGAAGATTAATGAGCAATGACTGAGAAATGTAAAGGATTACCTTAGAAAGTTGCTGAGCATTTCACCACAGTTACTTGTATTCCCACATCATTTTTATTTTTATTTAAAAAAATCTGTTAATACTAGGACTATATATATAAGGAAATTTTTGAACTCTTAGTTTTTTTTTTTTCATAAAGATTTCTACATCTGAGTTTATAAATCACAGAGGTATCTTATAAATAAAATGTTCTAAAAGATAGAAAACAGTCTACCAAACTGGAAAATTAGGCTTGATACCTGTTGTTTGTTCAGGATTGTTAATTGCTGTATTTTCCTTGAAAAAATAAAAGGAGCTTGAGTTAAAATTCAACAGGCTGCAGGAAAGAATCCAAGTTGTAGCCCAATACTAGGAAATTTAAACAAACCTCTGTTAAATTGAAATGAGTGGTAGACACAGTGTCAAGTCAATACTTTATCTTTTTACCTAACTTTTGTTTTAACACAGCTACAGAAAGATCTGGAAGAGGTAAAGTTGTTGCTGGAAAAGGCCACTAGAAAAAGAGTGCGTGATGTCCTTACAGCTGAAAAATCCAAGATTGAGACAGAAATCAAGAACAAGATGCAACAGAAGGCACAGGGGAAAGCAGACCCTCTTGACAATGAAAAGCCAGCGGCTGTGGTTGCTCCTATTTCAATGGGATATACTGTGAAAATCAGTAATTATGGTATGATGACTTACTGTCCTATATTCAGCTTTTTGCCCCTGAGCAACCTACTCCTCATTGGTGGCCCACTAGCAAACTCATTTTTAAAACAGCTTTGAGTGTTTGCTTTTAGTGACTTTGAAGAGGGCTCCTCCTTATCTCCCCCATCACCACCACCACCCACATACATCTGTATCATTTATTTTTGTGTTTAAGAATATACACAGGAAAACAACTTTTACACATACAATTCAGTGACATTCTTTAAGTTGTGCATACATATAATCTACTGAGGGAAAATGGTTTTATCACACTGTAATGTTCCTCCCCCATAAACTTGTCCTCTAAGTTTCTTATCTAATCTTTTGAATGTTGTTGTCTAGTGACCCCTCCTTGGGTTTCCAGGGCAGTATCACTACGGAAGTAGATTGCCCTACCCAACCGTCAAGTTAATTCATATACAGGTAGTCTCTGATTGAAGGTGGGGTTCTGTTCTGACCACTCCAACGTTTAAAGTCAATTCTGACATAAGCCAAATACTGTTTTTATTAATTGCTTTTTATGATCTTTTATTTATAAAGATAGTATCTTTATAAATCAGATTTTTACTTGTCTTTAGGAGTTGACGTGAGACTGATAATGTCAGCAAATTATGTCCTACAATATATGTACTACATATTACTAATGATAACATGAGAGAAAAAATGGAAGGTTGTACATGTGGTTCATGTTAACTCAAATACATTGTAAGTCAGGGACTACCTGTAGGTAATTAAAAGCATAGTGCTGAAAAGCAGACATTCTTTACTAGTTAAGCTAAACTGTTGTTTGGTTTTAAGATGTCAGGATATTTTTGATTAAAGATTATCTCAGGAATAGTTTAGGGAGTTCATCTAGCCTTTACCATCAGTTCTTATTTAATGAGATGCTTTTATCTTTTAGAGGTGAGAAAGGAAAGGATACAGTCTGAAAGCTATCAAAAGGCAAGGAAGATGATTTAAGTGCAAAGATCATTACTAGCAAGAAATTCTGAAAGAAATTGTGTATACATGGAGTAGGGTTTTGTGTTTCGCTTTGCCAAACAAACACAAAATTAACTGAGGAACTGAATCTTAGTTAAATTTTAGAAATATTTTTGAGCATCTAGTCACTGTTGTGCTTTGGCTTGTGGATGTAAGAGACGACAGATCTAGTTCATGCTCATATGGCTGGGACACAGCCATACAACTCAAATAACACACAGTGTGATAAAACCATTTTCCCTCAGTAGATTATAAACTTTTGTTTTGGAAGAAGTGAGACTTAAATGATGAGCTCTCATGAGGGCTGAGACAATCTTACTTATCTTTATGTTCACATTATCTAGCACAAAGCAGGTATACTTGCTTAACTAAATTGAATAGATATTTTTAAAGTATTCTGGGAACATAGCTGAAGAGTTAATTCTGCTGGAGGTGAGGAATAGGTCAGGGAGAATTAGGAGAGACATTTGAAGGGTAAGTAGTATATTCAGCAAGAGGAAAAGGAGGCAACAATGGGATCAAAGGAAAATCAAAGGCTTTTTTTGGCTGCCACTGCCACCAACAGATCTTTGGCCTCTGCCAGTAGCTGGCAGCAGCGGTGGCTATGGGTGTGGTGAAGAGGAAGGCTAGGAGCCAGGTCCCATAAGGTTTTTTTTTTTTAGGATTTGGGTGAAGATTTACAGAGTAAATTCACTTTTCATACAGCAGTTCACATATACTTTGTCTCATGTCATTGACCAAAATTTAC